TCTTCATATAGTATGCAGTCAGCGTACCTTGGCTTATTACTTATTGATCCCCTATCATGGACTCTAGGCATTTAAACAACAGAAAGAAGTTTATAGCCCACAGAGATACGCTGAGGTGGTGATACAATAAAATGAACTGCATACTAAGAATAGAAACGCAGTTTGAGAAATGTTTAATTCTACCACGTACTATGTGTATGGGGAAATAATTACGATATGCAGTGAGTCAGATTTGAATTAATACAAATATCCCCAAAAATAGATAATTTGGTAATTTCTCATTCACACATGCTCTATAATTTACTCATATATGCGTAAGAAATTCTAATATCTGACTCATTATGTTTGCCCTAAGTGACCCAATTGTTCATGTCATAATTTAAAAGAATTTGGGTCTTTACAATTTGAAAAAAAAATATCGCAACATATGGAGTACTCATAAGTATATGCACATATATGTCCAAATGGAGAAAGCATACATATTAATTAAATGAAATTATACGAGTACAAAACCATCCAAAGTAGGTTAAACGCCAAATAGATGTATAGATGGTGAGACCATTCAGGATCTCAAAAATTCATTTTCTCAATTTATGATGAGGCATCATCATCAAATCTTCATAATTTGTTTGCTTTAGACAAACCAACATGATGTGATTCACTTTTGGCTATCAATCACATAGCATTTTTGCAGAGTAACATAACATTAAAAATAGAAGTTGAAAACTTCATTCATGAGTCATTAGTCACCCAAAGGTCAATCCCCATTCAAGGTCTTCGAGACCTTATTAGATAAATAGCCCAATGACCAAACACATTGTCAATTAGGGATGATTTAAAACTCAAAGAGTATATTTCCACAAAAGTTTTTTTGATGTCTTTCAAAATCGACGACACTCAAAGCACTTAGTATAATTTTGTCATATACTACTACTGGAGTACTATGTGACTATCATAGATGACAATGTTTAAAATAGTTTTGGTCATGTAATTCTACTTGAGTGCAACGAAGTCATGTAACATCTGAGAGGTAAAATTGGGGAAATAAAATCCAAGCAGTAAAATCTGGGAAGTGAACTTCGAGAAGTAAAATTCAATAATTAACTTTCCAGATAACCAAGAATTAACTATTCGGATCATGCATTGTATGCATTGAGGGATCATAATAATTTATAATTTATATATTATAGACTCATGGTAATCATTCAGGGATTGACTTAGGGTCTATAGATCCTTTCCGATCAAATATTCATAATCGAGGGCTTAGGCCAAATGGTGACAATAAAAACTAGTTCTCTTAGGGTCCGTTTGGAAAACAGGAAAATGAATTCTGGAAAATGTTTTCTGGAAAATGAGTCATTTTCCGGAAAACATTTTCCTTTCCAGTGTTTGGTTGCATTCTGGAAAACTATTTTTGTGTGTTTGGGTCATTTTCTGGAAAATGAGTAGAATTGTATAATTAAACATTTTAATTATTTTATTTCGAATATTACAACATGTATAATAATATATAATAATATAATAATAATTTTAAATATAATAAAAAAAATAACAATAATATATCAAAAATATTGTGGTGGTGGGGGTGGTGTAGTGGTAATGGTGTTATTTGTTATATAATAATAATAGTAATAATAATAATAATAACAATAATATAATAATAATAATAACAATAACAATAATAATAATAATAATAATAATAATAATAATAATAATAATAATAATAATAATAATAATAACTGGTGGTGGTATGACGGCGGTGGCAGTGGTGGTGTGGTGGCGACGACGGTGGTTGTGGTGGTATGGTGGTGGTGGTGGTGGTGGCGGCGGCGATGGTGGTTGCAGTGGTATGGTGGTGGTGGTGGCTGCGGTGGTATGGTCGTGGTGGTGGCGGCGACGACGATGTGATGGTGGTGGTGTGGTGGTAGTGGTGGTATGGTGGTGATGGCGGTGGTATGGTGGTGGTGGCGGTGGCGGCGACGGTGGTGATGACGATAGTATGGTGGTGGTGGTGGCGGCGACGATGGTTGCGGTGGTATGGTGGTGGTGGTGGTATGGTGTTGGTGGTGGTAGTGGTTGCGGTGTTATGGTGTTGATGATGTTGGTGGTGGTATGATGTTGGTGTAAAAGTTGGAAAATGACTTCCCTTCAAAAAAATGGGAAGTCATTTTCCTCCAAAATGAGCCTATTTTCCAAAGTCAACGGAAAATGATTTCCGTTGACTTGATTTTCCAGGCACATCCAAACAATGAAAACTTGGAAAATGATTTCCAGAACTCATTTTCCAGGTTTCCAAACACACCCTTAGTGTTTACTTTCTAGGCAAAACTATATTAAAAATTAGGCACTATCATCTTGTTTGGATATTCAGATTTGAAATTTATTTCAATGTCCGAGACTCATGTAAATAGATTTCTAAAATAAAGACTAGCACCATAATTAAGCTTAAACTTGGACAAATAATCAATTGACTTCTAAATAAATACTAAGTCAATTTTCATTAAGAGATTGTCCTTGTGCTGTTATATTCTAATTAATGATATGGCCTTCTGGGCAATGCTATGTCTAAAAATTGAAGCTATAATCTCTCTTAAAATGTAGGGTGTGAGTTATATCACAACATTCAGGCTAATGTCATATAATTGTTATAACAAGAACAAGTTAACGTTTAGAAACAATAGGTGCAACCTAACAAAACCATGTTTCTAGTGGCCTATAGAAAATAATTAATTGCCAGCAAGAGAGACAACAAATTCTCTTATATGAGCCTAATCAAGAGATTATATACTAAATTTTGTCAAATAAGGAGAAGCATATTCAATATGTGATATAATTGTCCCTTATGTCTTGGACACTAAAAACTCATTGAGTCATGCACATCCCTTTTAAATAAAAAGTATCATGTTTGGTACACACAAGGCATGACATGACAAGAGATATTCTAGTAATTCATAAACTAGAAAATAAAATGAGAGAAGTATCGTTCGCCGAAAGAATTACGAGCACATGTTCGCTGCCGGAGCCATTCATTCCTATTTCGGAGAGTCAAAAACAACACTTTTCCAAGCAAGCTCTCATTTTTCATAGTTTCATAAAGCATCAAAACAATACAAAATAGTAAGATATACAAGTTGAAAAACCGGCATAAATTTTCAGAATTTTTTACGTGGATTGCAGAATTTTCTGGGGGAAAATGATAACACATTTTGACAAAAAATTTACGAGATAATTAAGAAGTACATCGAGTCTAGATTGTGCACAAAAAAGTTCAAGCCAATCCAAGGTCTAGAAGTATTTTTCTCGAATTTTTTCCAACACTGCGACAGACAGAAAAATAACTGGCAGCACATTGCCAAAACTTTATAAAATTTTTCCGGAACAACCAAAGCATATTTTTAACAAAATCTTTTTACAGACGTCAGACAAAATTTCAGGCCAAAAGGAGTTCAAAAAGTTCTTTTCACAAATTTAATTTTCAAGCTGCGCCGATCAGAATTTTTCAGGCATGCCTCAAATTTTACGCAAATAAATCTAACACTCAAAAGGTGTATTATAACCAAATACTTATAAAAGCTTTGTAGACAAGCAGCATAAGACATTAGGCATGTATGGAACTAATGGAAGCCATTGAAACTTGTCAACTTGAGCAGTACGACATATATTATGCATATTCCAAAAAATCACATTCATTAAATATTAATAAATCTCATGAATGTATTAAAGATTAAATGTGAGTACTTAGCTCTTGTACTGCAGGCCGGTTTGATGAGTTCGTAAGCCACATGGAGAGCTCATTAAATCCATTCTTGCTCAGATATATGTCATAATTTTGCACAAGAAAAACAATCGTTTCGCGAATGTATTGTTACCGGTGGACTGCTTTTAACACTCCGGCTCACCGGAATCCTTCTCGATCTGGAATTCTCACTTCTACATGCAGTCGATTGTGTTATCTGTACAAGTGCCATTTTATAACAATGCTAGAAGAGTAGGAGACATCACCGCCACTTGCTTTCACCGCTTATTCTTTAAGCTTACAAAGCTTTCCACGTCACTACCTTCTATGTTTCAATATATGTAGACATCATATGATCTGCCAATTAAGGGTTGAATTCTACATACATCTCCAATTCTTCACCACGGGATCTCAAATTCAATATCCCCATAAATCACTTGCAATTTTCAGAACATCATATCAAGATGGTGATGGTTGCGATTATATTCCATCCTCTTCATGCGTATAATAAGCTGATAAGAACACACGAGGTTGTGAAGACGGCTTTCGCGGTGGTATTAGGAGAGAAGGCAGCATCTGGAAGACTTGAAGAAAAAGGGTAGTTGCAACTAATCTAAAAGGGCACTTCTGTCTTTCTATACTTGTTTGTTAATTGGCAATAACGGCCTTTGCCACTCCTTTTTACACATAAAAACTCCCCATGTACGCTGAGCAAGTTAGTTAGTTCTTTGTATACAGACAGCCATCCCCATCATCTCTGTTCTCTCCAATAATGAAACCTTACCATTCCTTTCACTGTTAAGCTTTCCTTGCCGAGTTCATCATGGTATCAAAGCTCCGGCAGAAGAGTTACGCCGCCGCCGTGACCAGAACCGACGACTTCAGTCAATAATCACAACCGACAACTCTTGTGACCGGTTCACCTGTTCGTCCATCTCCAGCAACCGATCAGCAGAGGATCCTGACTCCACGGAGGATTCGCAACCATGAGGACATCGAGAGTCCTCTATTTTTTAATAGCACTGAGAACGCAAATGTTGTGCTCGTCACCCCGCTCCTCACTGGAAGTGCAAATTATGCGACCTGGAGTGTATCTATGAGAATGGCTCTGGAAATGAAGAACAAGTGGTGCGTGGTGGACGGGAGCCGAGTAGCGCCGGCCAGATCGAATCCTAAATACACAGCGTGGAGAAGATGCAACCTCATGATCTGCTCCTAGATCCTCAGATCTGTCCATCCTTCAATAGCACAGAGCATAATCTACATGGATAAAGCAAAAGAGGTATGGAATCATTTAAGAAAGAGGTTTTACCAACGAGATCCACATCGGATTTTCTCCTTCCAAACTGAAATTTATGCTTTGAAACAAGGCAACATGACTGTAAATGATTACTACAAAAAGTGTAGAATCCTCTGGGAACAAATGAATGAACTCAGGCCATTGCCGATCTGCAAATGCGATCCTCGCTGTGCATGTGACCTCCTCGATGAAATTCGAAGCGAACGGGAGGTGAATCAGATAATCAGGCTCCTGCAAGGATTGAGTGAAGATTATAACAGTCTGAAATCTGGAGTGCTTATTCTAGATCCTTTGCCTGACATGCACATAGTCTTTGTAATGGTCGAGAAATTTGAGATGCAACTAAACATCACAAATTTGAGCTTAAGTGGATTGGAGGCTACTCATGCCAATGCTGTCTCATCAAATTCAAACACTGCGGATGAGGCAATAGCTGCAGCTATCAATCAGTACAATGTGAGGAAGAATTTCACTCAAAATACTGTGAATAGAGCCAAATGTACCTTCGGTGGCATGAACAGTCATACCGTCGAAAAATGCTACAAAAAGCACGGGTATCCACCGGGGTGGATACCAGGTTTCAAATCTAGAGGGAAGCAACAATCAGCCGCATCCATTTCTGCTACCACTGAAATTGACTTCTCTGCTGATCAACTCTAAAAATTGATGTCCCTAATCCAAGCTCAAATGGCTCAAAATTAGCATGTTTCCACCTCTGCAGCAGTGTCCCTTGTTCCAAAATTCAGCAAAGAAATCTCTCCTAAGCAAGGCAAGTGTTCAACCACTCACATTAATTCTATTGCTTTGCATTCTTCGAATTGGATTTTGGATTCCGGTGCAACCGATCACACAGTCTGTTCTTTGGAGTTCTTTGAGAATTATCATGCTATTGAGAACACAGCAGTTAACTTACCTAATGGAAAACAAGCTCAGGTCGATCATATGGGAGACATCAGGTTTGCTGATGGCATATACTTGAGAAATGCTTTGCGCATTCCATCTTTTAGCTTCAATATCATTTCTGTTAGCGGATTACTTCACAACTCTCCATATGTGCTAACTTTTACCTCTAATCAATGTCTTCTTCGGGGGAGTCATGGGAAGACGATTGGTTTTGCTAAGGAAGAGAAGGGCCTATATTTGCTTCTTGAATCACCAGAAATATGTTCTAATCAGTCTTGTAATATTTTGCTATGCAGTGTACTGCCGAAATTTGGCACCAACGATTGGGGCATTTCCCATTGAATAAAATGCACCTATTACATGATATTTCTGTACCTCATACCAAAATTTCAGCATGCGATGTTTGTCACTTTGCAAAGCACAAAAGGTCACCCTTCCCTTTGACTTTTTGAGTAAGACAATGTCAACAATAAATTTTGAATTGGTGCATGTTGACATTTGGGGTCCATTCTTGGTTCAATCCTTAGGGGGAGAACGCTACTTCCTAACTATAGTAGATGATCATTCAAGGTACACATGGATTCATCTAATGAAGTACAAATCTGATACACAAAACTTGATCAAGAAATTCCACAAGTTTGTCAGCACTCAGTTTGGCTTGTCTATTAAAACTATCCTGAGTGATAATGGTATGGAGTTCAAGATGGAATCCTTTTTTTGCTAAGCATGGCATAGTTCATCAGACGTCTTGCGTGAACACACCACAACATAATGCGGTGGTAGAACGCAAACATCAACACATCTTGAATGTAGCGAGATCCTTACACTTTCAAGCAAACTTGCCCCTAGAATTCTAGGGCCAATGTGTTTTACATGCTGGTTTTCTTATAAATCGTTTGCCCTCACCGGTCATCAACTGGCAGAGCTCATACCAAAGGTTACATGGAAAGGAACCAGATTTGGCCAATTTAAGAGTATTTGGCTGCCTATGCTATGCCTCAACTTTGCCTCACGCACGACACAAGATGGCACCTCGTAGTAGGAAATGTGTCTTTCTTGGCATTCCTGCAAACATGAAAGGTTATTTACTATATGATGTGCATGATAAGATAACACTTTTTTCCAAGGATGTGGTTTTTTATGAGACGCAGTTCCCTCTAGCTGAACAAAATAGTCACACAAAGGAGTTTGATCCATCACTACCTAACATCCCAGTATCCAACTGTGAGGAGTTCCTGTTTCAAGAAACCACTGAGAGGGTAATCCCAGGCAGCCTAGATAGTGATGGAGTCGACTTGATGCCAATTAGCAGCCCTTCGGCCATCATGCCCTCTCATATTGAGAATGCAACTCCTACTTCACAAATCAAACAGAGAACGCCATAGACCAAACAAGCTGCAAACTATTGTGATGTTGTTATGGCAGACAAAACTTCACCACACCCCCTTTCAAAGGTAATTTCCTATGATCATCTTTTGCACTCACATAAAATATTCTCCATGTCACCTCTGTTAGTGAGCCAATGATATATAACCAGGTCGTGAAACACGAGAGCTGGAGAAATGCCATGAAGGCCAAAATTGAAGCTTTGCAGATGAATAACACATTGGAATTAGTAGAGCTTCACCCTGGTAAAACCCCCATAGGTTGCAAGTGGGTCTATAAGACCAAACTTCGAGCGGATGGAACTGTGGAGAGGCACAAAGCGAGGCTTGTAGCCAAGGGCTACACACAACAACTCAGGATAGACTATCTTGAAACTTTTTCACCGGTGGCACGCATAACTACCATCCGAACATTCCTTGCAGTGGCGACTTCTAGATCATGGCATATACACCAAATGGACATAAACAATGCCTTCTTGCATGGTGACTTGAATGAAGAAGTGTACATGGTTTTGCCTCCGGGATTCCAAAGTGAAAAGCCGAATCAAGTTTGTCACCTGCTGCGATCTTTATATGGCCTTAAACAGGCAAGTAGATAATGGAACGCAAAGCTCAGTAACGCACTGGTTAGTATTGGTTTTAAGCAATCAAACGCAAATCCATCCTTGTTTACAAAAGGATTCGGCACCAACCTTATTTCTCTACTTATATATGTTGATGATATCTTGGTAGCCAGTGCCAAAATGCCTCTAATTCTTGAGACAAAAAGCTTCTTGGACAGTACTTTCAAAATCAAAGATCTTGGCTCATTGGGATATTTTTTGGGAATTGAAGTAAGCTCATCAGCAGCTGGGCTAAATTAATGCCAGAGGAAATATGCTCTGGACATTCTTGAAGAAGCAATTTTCCTGGGCTGCAAACCGGCAAATACTCCAATGGCTCAAGGTCTAAAATTACACCATGGTGATGGTATTCCTCTTGAAGATGCAGGCAGCTATAGAAGGTTGATAGGCAAATTACTTTACCTTATGGCAACAAGGCCAGATATCAAGTTTGCCTTACAACAGCTAAGCCAGTATGTTGATGCTCCCACAGACAAACATCTCTCAGCCTCACATCGTGTGCTAAGATACATCAAGAGCTCTCCTGGTCAAGGAATTTCCTACCCTGCAAACATGGATACTCAACTCAAAGTTTTTTTGGACTCGGATTGGGCTACATGTCCTGAAACCAGAAAATCCATTACTGGATATTGCATTTTCTTAGGGCCTGCATTGATCTCATGGAAATCCAAGAAGCAAGTGACTGTGTCTAGATCCTCCTCCGAAACCGAATACCGTGTCGTGGCTGCCTTAGTGTGTGAAGTACAGTGGCTGACTTACCTGCTTCAAGACCTGCAAGTAGACACAACGAAGCCGGCAACCCTCTTCTATGACAACAAATCTGTTGTGGCAATAGTAGAGAACCATGTCTTTCATGAACGCACCAAGCACATCGACATTGACTACCACATTGTGCGTGAAAAGTTTAACCAAGGGTTAATTAAAATCCTCTCAGTTTCTTCATCAAATCAAACCGCCGACGGGTTCACAAAGCCATTACCAACACCTCAGTTCCGACATTTCCTCTCTAAGCTGGGCATACAGGACTTGCATGCGCCAGCTTACAGGGGGTATTGGGAGAGAAGGCAACAGCTGGAAGACTTGAAGAAGAAGGGCAGCTGCAACTGATCTAAGAAGGAACTTCTGTCTTTCTATACATGTTTGTTAATTGGTTATAACAGTCTTTGCCGCTCCTTTTTACTTTACATAAAATCTCCCCATGTACGCTGAGCAAGTTAGTTAGTTCTTTGTATACAGACAACCATCCCCATCATCTCTGTTCCCTCCAATAATGAAACCTTACCATTCTTTTCACTGTTAAGCTTTCCTTGCCGAGTTCATCAGGTGGCATGGAAGAACATGACCGGACGCCATTTTCCCAGTCAGATGCTCCATTGACGATCTTCCGATCCGATCAACCAAATCCCTCCTCCATTGATGATCTTCAATATGTATCAAGATTATCAAGCATGACCGGTTATTATTGTCGGTTATCTGATGGGAAAAGGAGGATTATTCAATTCAATTCGATGGAAAATTCTTATATTAGGCATGCAACTATATGTTTGCTCCGATGTACTAGACGTGTCAAGCATGCATACCAGCAACGATCCAAGAACCACGTACGTGTTAAAGGAGATCCCAAAATGTATGTTTCAATTCATCGAGGATGTAGAGCAAAGTGCTGATAACGTGTTTAACAAAAATATCAACGCAAGAAAGGAAGAGATAATAGACGTAGAAAAGTATTTCTTATATTATCATCAATCTCTGTACAGCATAACAATGGTATATATAATCTCTATCATAATTGTGACAACCCAACATTTAAGTTTATAAATCCGATTTTAAGAAATTCCAAAATAGCCATTTTTCACTCTATAAAAATTTTTGAGGTAAAATTGGTGTTTGAATAAATTATTTTGAGTTACATTTTAAATGAATTCAACACCGGAACTTATTTTAATTCTAAAATCCTAAATTTTCGGGTACTTCACTTACCAAGTTTTAAACTGAGAAGTCAATGTGAGTGAAACCGGGAGAAATCTGAGAAGCCTAAATCATGTGCCTAACTAGAAATCATTTTTTGGAGAAATTCAATTTCAACCCCAAACTATTCTAAATCCTGATTTTTGGACCATGGTCCATGTAGCATAGTGAACCACACCCCTCCAAGCCTGTTTTCAGCCATACAAATTCCATGTTTGCCCTCCACCAATCATTGGTGATTCTCCTAGGGTTTAGAGCCACTATATAACACTCACATATCAGAACTTTTCCTCTTGATTCCATTTTTAGCTTCCCATTCATCTGCAACAAGAGAAGAACACAGTAAGTTATTTTCCTTCCTTCATTCATCAGCTTCCTTCCTTTTCTTAGCTTTGTCTTTGAAGACTTGTAATAAATAGAGTTTGGTTTGTTTGAGTTGTTTAGGAGGTGAAGAAGTGGGTGTCTAGCTTGGGAAGAAGGTGGAATCCAAGCTAAAGGGAGAAAGCTTCAAATGTATAACCCCATAGATTCCCAGCTTGTTTTTGCTCTGTGAAGCCTCTGTGATATAGTTAGAAATGAGTAGGAATGCTAGAATATTGTGTGTTTGAGCTATTGGATGTCTTGTTGATGTTGTATGATGTAATGTTAATGGTTTGGAGGTGGTTTATTGTCTGGGTTGGCCTTGCAGATGAAGAAGGAGCCACTGGTGCACCTCTCAGTGTGCACCAGTGGAAGTCAAGAGCCTAGCCAACGGCCCACGAGGGGAGCCGTTGGCTAGAGTCATGGCTAGATGGCCCTAGGCAAGGGCCGTGGCCCTAGGCCGCCACCGGACGGTTCCAGGCGCGCGGCGGGGCTTCCCTAGCCCCGCCGCTAGGTCCGTTGATGGTTACCTGTGCAGTGGCCGGGCCCTTGTGGCTCAGCTACGTGTTTTTTCGGACCGGGATTCGTGGGCCCTTATGGTTCAGTACCTTGGGGCCGTTGTGACGCACGTTTGGGCTTTGATTTCATTGAATTTGGATTATAAATGAGCATGTTATGATAGAAATTGTGATGGAATTGTTTACAGTAGTAATATGCAAATGTGATGTATCAGACTTACTGCCTATGGGAGTTGCTTGTTATTATCTTCTTGATGATTATTGAGTATTAGATAGAGGAGCATGATCATTATGTGATTAAGTGTTGTTAGAAAAGCATGACTAAAGTGTGTATTATGTTTCATGAAAATTGTAGTCTGTTTATAATGGTGGAAATGTACAGAGTATGTTGTTTTGCAATTCAAGCATGATTGTGTGATCTTTGAGAGTTCACAGTGATATGTAGAATTGGAGCATGTGTTCAGTAAATTACATTCCAAGCATTTCAT